CGGCTGGCCCTGCCTTGGCCTCCAGGCCTTTCCCCGACCAGGGCCGCTCAGGCAGGGCCGCCCGTCAGCTGGCCACACCAGGTCTCCGGCAGAGCAGACAGGAGGCCTGGAGGGGCCACAGCGGGGCCAGAGGGCCCCTACAGGCCGTGAGATGCAGCCCCGGGCCCGCCTTGTCCCACTCGGACGTCCTCACTCTGTCCATGCTGGTGGGGGGACAGGGCCCGGGGGGTGGCATCACCCCCACGCTGCTGACGGAGCCTCTCTCCCCGCCCCACAGGCCCTTCACCGCCGAGATCTACCGGCAGAAAGCCTCCCAGTCCCGCAAGAGAAGCTGACTGGGCCGCGGCCGTTTCCCTGAGGGTCTGCTGCCTCCTGGCCCGCCTGCCCCGAGTGACAAGCCCTTCAAAGGGGACAACGGTGCCTGGCTGCAGCTGGGTGCTCGAGCCTGATGCAGGCCACTCCAGTGCCTTGGAAATCGCTGCCTTGGGGACCCTGGACATGCTGCCCTGTGGCCACTGAGGCCCCCTGCCCCTCTGTCCCCACCACGTCCTGACTCACCAATAAAGGCACCCTGACCCCAGCATTCCCTCCGGGTCTCTGTCTGTCCAGATGGGGATGGAGCCAACTTGGGTTCTGGGACGGGACGTTCTCCCAAGGGCTCCAGGCCAGGCTGGTGTGGCCCTCCCTCTCACTGAAGCCTTGCTGCCCTGAGGTGGGCACCACGTCCACACGTGGCCGGGAAGGGACTTACCCAGACATTCAGGCCTCCTGTGTCCCCTCTGCTTAGACATTGGCCGTGGACCCTGGACAGAGGGGAGCTCGGGGTCCTCTGTGCAGGGAGCTGCGAGGCATGGGCTCAGGCCAGCACGATGGCGCCTGGACCCTGCTGCTCGCGGAGAACCCCTGATGGCAGCCTGCCTGGGTTCCTCCAACGCAGCTCTTAAGAACCTTCTAAATGGCTCTGCCACCAGACCTAGCTGTGGCAGACGTTTCCTGCCTTGGGGGCCCACTGTCCACCTCCCCGATCCACCCCCAACATTTGGTCAATTATTTTTAAAAGTTCCCATTCCGCTCTGAGCAGGACAGTTGCTGCCGTGTAAGTAGATCTGTCTACACGGGCTCAGCCTTGGGGGGCTGCTCGTGGTGCGAGGCCCAGACCCGCAGGGGTTGACTGTTGTTATAACCTGGACGACACACACAGAAAGCTCTGGCTGCAGCACGGGGGAGGCGGGAGTTCGGGGAAGCCGGGGCTGCACATGTCCCCTCCCCAGTGTGGGGCCCAGAGTGTCCACGGGCGGGGCCGGACGGCTGAGGGTCACGTGGGGTTGCGAGGGTCCCTGCCTACCTGACCAGCGGACCCACCCCGGGCCACTGGGATTCAGCCAGCCTGGGGCAGGGCCCGGTGTAAGGTCATGAGGGCCACCCTGGAGGATCGGAAAAGGGGCTTCCATGAACAGAGGGCTGGGCGGTGGGCGTCTGCGTGGGCGCCTCCCCGTCATCCTCACTTCCTGGGGGGGTGGCTGGAGAGGAACTGCTTCTAGTTCCGCTCACTCTGTCCCTTTCTGAAACTGCTCAGATATTCTAAGAACATGAGCATGTTACTTTTGTAATAAAGAGCTACGCCTAGAACCAGGAGGTGGAAACGAGGTAGCCCGAGCTGACAAGTGTCGCTGCCGCCTGCCTCCTGGGGCGTGCGCCCCCGGCTGGCTCGCGGCTGGGCAGGGGCACAGGCTTTGGGGCACGAACGACAGATGAGCTCAGGGCTCAGTGAACTCAGCTGACTTGGGAGAAGGAGTCTCATAGGCTGGCATCTGTGGGGCGGGGTGACATGCCCAGAAGGCACCAGGCATTGTCGTGGTTGAGAACCCAGGCTGGGCTCAGTACCTGCCACTGTCACCAGCTGGAAGGAGCCAGAGTGATGTCAGCCTCAGCCTTGACATTTGACCTGGGGTGGAGGCGGCGGGGCTCAGAACCTAGGCTGGGTGCTGGCCCACTGGATCTCCCTAGGGAAAGCTGGGTTCAAATCCCTTGACCCTGCCGCCTCTGGGCCTCTGCTCACCCAAGTGCCCTCCTAGGACTAGAGCCACGGAGGGCACGGCTGCGCAGGAGCCACTATTACTCTGCGCCTGGCCCCGGCCATCAGTAAGGAGCCATCCGGTGTCAGAGCCCGGCTGCCCAGAGGGGGCCTTCACGGGAGGCAGGGGAGGGGCCCCTTGTCTGGGGGTGACGCAGGGCCATGCAGTGAGCCCTGCATGCACCCTCGACTGACACCTCTCTGCAGGGAGGGCCCTGCCCACTGCCCACAGCAGCCCCGTGTGCAGGCTCAGGCTCACTCCCTTCTTACCTCACACAGGAGGGCAGGTGAGGGCAGCCTCAGCAGGGCCAAGAGCCAGGGGGAGGGGGGTGCGACCCAGCTGGCCTGTGGGACAACCCCTGCGTGAGCAACCCCAGGACTCGGAGCCGGGCTGGTCAACATTTCTCAGATCTGGGTGGTGAGCCCTCGGGTGCTCTGCATGTGCTGTGTCCCTTTGAAATACCTAGTCGACAGGAGGCATGAGGCCTGGGGACAGGATGGGAGAGGCGGGGAGGTCTGAGGAGCGGTGCCTCTGGGGAATAGGGCATGGGCGTCCCACAGTGGGCAGAGCCAGTCAGAGGAGGGGGAGACTAGGTGGTTAGGAGCCAGGACTGCCAGCCCCCTGGGGTCACTCCCCGGCCGCGCACTTACTAGCTGGGCAAGTCACTCCCCACCCCCGCCCCGCCCCCCACCCCCCGCCTCAGTTTCGCCATCTGTAAAATGGAGAGAGTAATAGTTCCTACTCCTCAAGGTTGCCACGAGGAAGGACTTAGAACAGTGCCTGGTACGGAACAAACCCTCTCCAGGCATCAGCCAGCAGAGGGCGTGAGATTCTGCTGGAATCCTGGTCACAGGCGGGCTGGACGAGATGACCTTTGAGAGCACCCCCACCCCCACCCAGGGCGGCTGAGAGTCCACAGGCCCTGTGCAAACAGCTGAGGAGTGCACCCCAGCTCTGCCCAGAGCACCCTGACCAGTGTAGATGGGTGGGTGGCACCGGCTAATGGCTCCCTGGCTTTCTTCCAAATCAGACACGGACAAAGCACAACCGCGCAGCCCCGCCTGCTGCTGCCAGGAGCAATGGCTTTTTCATGAGCTCCAGGCTGGAGCCAGTCAGCTCCAGACAACCTATTTCTGGGCTTTCTGCAGCGTCAGCCCACTCCTGGTTACTGATCAACCTGCTGCCCCCTGGTTTGCTCCCCGCTCCCCCACTCCTGCCCAGTCCTGCGGCCTCGCGGGTCATTTACTACTGTTGTTATTACCAGGTCCTGCCGCCTAAACTGTTTGCACTTTCTCATCCACGATCATAGAACAAGAACCACCATCTTCCGAAAGAGGAAACAGGCCCGGAGACGGCAAGAGACCGTGCTGTCTGTCCAGGGCTTTCCTGGGCTCACTCTGTGGCGTTGAGACCCAGCTCCCACAACTGTAAAATGGGAACGTTGGCCCAAGGCCCTGTGGCCCTAAAGGCACAGACTGCTATGGGGGAGGGAGGAGGGGACACTGGCCTAGGCCTGATGGAGGAGAGGCTAGTCTCCGGGACAGGAAAAGGATGGGGACAGCCTCAGGCTGGAAAGCCCTGCCAGGCCCCAGAGCGTGGCTGGGAGAAAGGAGAAGATGAGGCCTGGAGGAGAGCGCGGGGTTGGAGCCGGCTCCTTCCGGGTCCCAGCCTGGCGTCCCAAGTCCCGCGCCCTGCACCTCCGCAGACCCTAATCCCGCCGCTGCGCCGGGATTCCAGCCCTGAGCGCCGCCGGCGGGGCCCTCTGCTGCCCTCTGGCGGTCGGAGCGTGCGGCGCCGCCCGGGAACAAGCCCCGCCTGCGGACAGGGGGCTGGCGCTGCGGGTCTGGTCTCAGAACTAAAACAAATAAGGCGCGCAAAGCCCTAGGCGCGGTGCCTAGCACCTGGTAAGCACCCTTTATTACGCGGTTACTCTTGTTATTCTCTGGGGAAACTGAGGCCCAAAGAAAGTGTGCGTGTGTGCGTGTTGTTGTGTATGTCGATGGTGGGATCCTTGCCCGAAGTCACAGAGGGTCAGAGGCACAGCCGGGACCAGCCCCGACGCCCTTTCGGCCGCCGAGCCCCGTGCAGTGGAAAAGCGCAGGGTCCGCGCGCCCCTGCCCCAGCCGGACCCTGGACTCAGTCTCCTTCTCGTGCCCAGGCAGGGGCGGGCAGCGCCGGCGGGGCTCGCGGGAGGGAGCGGCGGGGCCCGCGGTCGTGACGCAGCGAGGCGGGGAG